CCTGGCCTCGCCCTCCCCCTCTCTCCCTCTCTCTCCCTCCCTCCCTCCCTCCCTCCCTCCCTCTCTCTCTCTCTCTCTCTCTCTCTCTCTCTCTCTCTCCCCCCCCCACCCCCCACCCACCTCATCGCTTCCTCGTGGGTAGGCACCTGCGCTGCGGAGGCGCCCGGGCGCCGCACGGCCCTGCTTGCGTCACTGTGCGAGCTCGCTAGGCGAGCATGCTTCGGCGTGGGGAGGGGCGCGGGGAGTACGTACTGACGGTAAGTAGCATGAGGAGAGAGCGGTGGGTGGGGTCTGAGTTCTCGTCCGTCCCTCCCACCACCCGACGAGCCATAGTAAGGGAGCAACGTATGTAAAGCGCGCGGCGCGGACACAGCCGGAGAGATTGCGGGTCGGTTGTGTCTCTGTGTGAGAAAGTGAAAGCTGAAACTATAATGAAAAAGAAAAAACACTCGTGCGGCGGCCGATCTCCGGTGTACCTGGGCCGCGATAGGCATCTCTAGCAGCGTCGTAATACGCATGCGTCTCGACAGAGCATAACACACACTCCTCTCGCGTAGGTCTACCCTCTCGGCTCCGCTTTCCCTCTTCGTACTTCGAGCCTCCCTCCTCGTTCTGCGCCGCCGTCGTGAAGGGTTCAGCCCCACCCCTCGCTACGCAACGCGGTCACAAGATATCAACCTCGCGAGCCGTGGCCACCAAGCGTGGGAAGGACTGTCCAGCCGGGCGGGCGAAGCTGATATCAGGGGCACCTCCTCCCCATACCTCGGCGCCGGCGTCAGCTGCTGTGCTGCATTGCGAGCTTCCCCGGGCAAATCGTGAACTTTTGCCGGTAACGTCTCCCCACACCAGCCCGGATGAGTATTGAGGAGAGCCCTGAAGCGCCGATGATGCCCAGTCATTGCACAGCCTTGCGGCGCGCCAGCGTGTCTGGGCAGAGAGCGAAACTCCTCTGCCACCCCCTTTATGCACGGATTCGCACGTACCTGTGGTGGGGGTGGTGTCGCGTGGCAGAGTCCTCTACTGCCACGCCTCACGAGCGAAGATCCGACCACCGGAAGCGGAACCGGACCACGACGCGGGATGTCATAGGCAACCTCTTGACGCTCTACAAGCCCTGGCTGACCGTGCCACCCCGTGACGGCCCGAGGGATGAACGCGAGCCTGCGGGCATCGCATCCGAGACGCCCGACCTTTCTTGGACTGTGAGAGGATCATGCAAACCCACCTCTCAGATCGAGGTGATGTGCTGGGGTGTTTTGATCATTGGTTGTTGGGAAGGAGACTGCGATCCTGTTGCGTCGCACGAGAGCAGAACGGAGCATTGGGCCGGCCTCCTTGGTGGCAAAGAATGGCGCATAGGCGCGATAGAAGGCGGAGACAGAGCAGTAGAACTAGGTGGTCGACCGGAGCGGACAGTGAAAGGCCCGCCCTGACAACCCCAATGACCACATTCAGCCAACGGCGACTTCATTCTTCCAAACAAGCGATCGCGGACGGACGAGTTCCAGCTCGCGGGTTGCGTGTGAATTCTAGGCCTGCGGGTAGTCTCCCCCCATCCCCAGGGCCTACAGGGCACCTCAACCTCTCACGGACCAGCGCAAAGCGCCATAGGACGTATTTTCTTGTCAATAACAAGCTGTGAACAAGGTCTGTGAATGAAAGCACAATACAATTCCTCCTCTGTGAAAAAAGAGACGGGCGCCTGCAGCGGATTTTCTCGCACTTTGTTAAACACGCCACGCCCGATCTGGCTGTGAACGTGTGTGGTGTGAAGCGGAGCCGAAGGGGAGAGCCTGTTTGTGAACAGCCGCCCTATACCCAATCGTCACCAATAGCAATACGAAGGACAACGAGGATATGGGAGGGTGGTGCTGGGATCGGGTGCATCGCACCCTCGACCTCTGTACAGTCGCGGATCTAGACCCAGCACACAACCCGGAAGCAGAGACTCAGTGCTTGGTCGCCGCGCGCGCGCGCGCGCGCGCGCGCCGCGCGCTTCTTCCTACCGCGCGTCGCCGCGAGCGCGGCGGCTGGTGGGCATGGCACGTACGTACAGGATGATGGCCTGACCCACCCCACAGCGTCCTGCCTTGGCCCCAGCTCCCTCCATCCCCTTGAGCAGGTCCTTGGCCTTCACGTCGCCCTTGTCGAGGTGTCGCGCGGTCGGCTGGAACTGCTCCTTCTCGCGAGGGCTCGCCCCCGGAGGGCCAGGAAGAGGGCCAGCCCAGCGCGTGCGTGCCAACCTGAGTGGCATGCAGCGGCGTCGACTGCGCCTCATCTCGCCCCGCCGCCTGCAGCGCGACGGGCGGGTAGGTGAAGCGCCCGTCCGACGTGCGCGGAGACTTGATCGCCGACTGGAGCACTTGGAGCCTGCATGTGGACTTTTTATCGCAAACTCGGGGGGCGCGAAAACTGTCATGCCTCTTTGCGCGGCGTGCCTCTCCCCGATCCAGCCCCGCGAGGCGCATGTACTGATCGGCTGCGCCGACGGGCACGTGGCCCACAGGGACTGTTTGCGGGACTGGCAGCGGACTCCTTGTGCGCGTGGGCTGCGACAGCGCGCGCGTAGCGATGCGTCGAGCGGCGCCGAGCGGCAAGCATTTCCATGCCCGCAGTGCTGCCTCGTCGAGAAGGGCTTCGGCTTCCCGGCCATCGGCGGCGGCGGCGGCGACGACGACGACGGCGGCGGCGACGCAGACGAGGAGGAGGAGGAGGAGGAGGAGGAGGAGGAGGAGGAGGAGGCGACGGCGCCGGTGATTTGAAACGCACCCCCTCTCACACCTAACCGCGATCCATCTTCTCGCCAGGCGTCGGCGGCGGGAGATGAGGCGGCGTCGCCGTCGGGCGCGGGCGCGGGCGAGCCAGCGCGGCCGGTGGCCGCAGCGAGCGCGCCAGGAGGTGGCGGCGGCTCGGCGGGGGCCGATGCCTCGGCCGCCCCTCCTTCATGCTCGGCGGGCGACGGCGACCAGGGGCTATTCAGTACGGCATGGGCGGCGGCAGCCGGAGCGTGGGCGTGGCTCGCGTCAAGACAAGGGAAGCGGAGGGCGGAGGAGGAGGAGGAGCAGCCGCTGCCGCCGCTCAAGCGGCAGGCGGGCGGCGGCGGCGGGGCGGGGCCGTCGGCGCTCCCGGCGCCGCAGCTCGCGTCGCGCCCGCCGCCGCCGCCGCCGCCGCCGCCACCCGCGCCTTCCACTGCCGCTGGAGCCGAGGCAGTCCGGCAGGCGGAGAGGGAGGGCCTGGCTCTGGCTACGAGCAGCAGCAGCAACAGCGGCTACAGAGGCGTGACCTTCTACCCGAGTCAGCAAGGCAGCAAGAAGTATCGGCTGCGGGTGAGCGTTGGCGGCAAGAAGACCTTCCTCGGCCTCTTCGCCACCGCCGAGCAGGCGGCGCTCTTCCTCGCCCGCTGGGAGGCGGGCAGGGACACCAGCGATCTCACCGCGCCGCCGCCGCCGCCAGCACCTTCCTCTCCCGCTGGAGCCGAGGCAGTCCGGCAGGCGGAGAGGGAGGGCCTGACCCTGGCTACGAGCAGCAACAGCAACAGCGGCTACAGAGGCGTGACCTTCTACCCGAAGCGGTCTTCCGGCACACGGTACCAGCTGAGGGCGACGGTCGGCGGCAAGCAAGTCAGCCTCGGCCTCTTCGCCACCGCCGAGCAGGCAGCTCTCTTCCTCGCCCGCAGGGAGGCGGGCAGGGACACCAGCCATCCCACCGCACCGCCGCCACCGCCTGCATGAGCTCAGCCTCGAACGTAATGAGAGGTCGGAGCTATACCGAGAGTTCGTTGAGCAGGTGCGCACCAACACAATGCTGAGCTGCGTGAACAGGGCTCCAGGCCCCAAATGATGTGTAAGTGTTAGAGTTTGTTTGGTATTGCTGAAAATCTCTCTCTCTCTCTCTCTCTCTCTCTCTCTCTCTCTCTCTCTCTCTCTCTCTCGGGTGTGTGGACACTCACTTCGCACCCCAGCCAGCCCGCTTGGCGCCACGCCGCGAATCGAGCGGGCCGGCCAGGCGAGCCTGCTCTTCGGCCCGGGCCCGGTCGCCGAGCACACGCTCCGGCGGCTCTCCGAGCGCGCTTCGGGCTTGGTCGGCGATGGCCGCATCGGCCAGGCGGTCAAGACGCAGCGGCGCGTGCTACGAGCAATGGGCAAAATTGACCACCCCGACGAGCTGACCGCGCTGCACAATCTGGCAGACACTCTGTACCTCCAGGGCGAGCTGGTGGAGGTGGAGCGGCTGCAGCGAGAGCTTCTGCACCGTCAGAGAGAGAAGCTCGGCTGCTGCCACCCGGAGGCGCTCGAGACGATGGGCGTGCTGCTTCCGGTCACGCTGGCGGGGCAGGGGCGCTTCGCGCAGGCGCGACGCGCCCTTGTGTGGATCACGTCTCCTCAAGTCTCCCCCTTGGCTCAAACTTCGCTTCCGTTGGCCTCACAGGCGATGGACCTCTCGATCGAGGCGCGGCGGCAGATGGAAGAGCACCTCGGAGAGGAGCACGAGGCGCGCTAAACACGCCCCCTGCACGCTCTCGCTTCTAGCATCGCACCCACAGCTTCAGCTCGAGCCAGCGCACCCGCCCCGCACCATCATCATGAAGGCCCATCCCGACAGGTGAGCATCACCGCGGCTGGGCTCTCCGCGATGCTGGAAGAGCACATCGAGGGCACTTTCGAGAACCTCTTCGCCGTCGAGTCGCCCCAGTACGGCGCGTGAGGAGTGGAGTTATTGAGTTTCTTTGTTTGGCGTGTGTGTTTCTGTGGGAGATGCGCGGGCGGGACTTGGTGTGTTTTGACGCCCTGCTCGACGAGACACGGTGGATGGCGATGGGGAGACCGAGAGACGCATGACGGGGTCTATGACTGCTGGGGCTCCGCATCTCAACTAGTGCTCTGATCGATGTAACATCTTAACATGCGTGTTCACAAAAAATCGCAAGCCCAAGAGCGCCAAATCGCACGCCATCGCCAAGCCTTCACCCAAGCGCAAGCCCCACAACCGCCAAAAGCCGGAAAAAGCCAAAACGCAAAAGGTGCCCACGTGCAACGGCAACGGCCAACGCGCCGCGCGCTGGATCCCTGGGACTTTTCCCTGACAGTGGCGGGCGACACACACGGCTCACGGGCTCGGCGCGATCGGTCGGCGTTTAAACGGTGCAACCGTTGGCCCCGGCCGAAAATCTTTCTGTGGGTGCACTTGTAGCCCGTCGCCGTAGCCATTGTTTAGTCTCTCTCCCTCTCTCTCTTGTGTATCGCGCGCGGGGGGGGGGAAGGGCATTTCATTCTGTGGCGGAGTTGCGTCCGTCCTCCGACCGAACAACCATGAGCACGCGATCGACACTCTCGCGGTACAGCAGCCTGCGAGACTGGCTCGTGGTCGACACGTCTCGCGAGTCCGTCGCACGCGTGCGGCACCGGCAAGAGACCCACCAGGCTGCTGTCTTCGAGATGCGGAAGTGGCTGGACGCATTCCCCGAGGGCAGCGAGTGGGCATGGCTGACACGCGAGGAGGGTCTGGCCGACGCGGAGCTGGAGCTGCTGGCGCATGTCGTGGCGACGCTACAGGGTCGGGCTGGTGCGGAGGAGCAATACGAGCAGACGCTACGACAGTGCGAGGCGCAGACCTCAGAGCTGCCAAGTCAGCTCGGGCAGTTTGGCTTGGGACACCGCGAAGTGAGGAGGAAGCTGTGCCCCCCCGGCGTTGTGTCCCCGCCACCGCCCACCACTACTCCCTGCCGCCACCCTTAGGAGCTAGCCCGATGGGTGGCGCAGACGCAGCGAGTAAGCAGCGCGGCCAAGGCACGTGCCGTTGCCTGGGCTTTGGCCGCGGAACAAGTGCGGGCTGGCAGGGCGGCGCTCGAGGCGGAGGCGGGCAAGGCGCGGGCCGAGGAGAGGAAGCGCACGGCGGAGACGGCCTCTGCTCGCGCCGAGTTGAGTCGAGACGTGCGCCACCACGTCCGACAGCCCGCTAGTATCTGCCACATGCATGTGACCAACGACAATGATGGTTGTGGCAGCCCACGCCTACCCATCCCTCCCTGCCATCCACCGCAGGTTGAGGCGCTCGCCGCCGAGGCGTCGAGGTGGCTGGTGGACGACGATGCTCTGTGGGGCTGCGCGCACGCATTTCGTCTCACCGCCAATCGGCTCGTGGCGGCGGCGGCGAGCGAGAGGGCCGCGTCCAGCGAGCACAGGCGCCTGGTGGGTGGCGCCCGCAGCAGTGCGCGAGCCACAGCGACCGCAGTGCTCCGGAGCTGCTGCTCCGCCGACTCGCCCGTGATTGGCACCGACACCGGGGCCATAGTTGGCCATCACGACACCGCCGCGCTGCTTGGCGGCGACGGCGGCGGTGGCACAACCATGGGCGAGGTGCCTGCGAACCGTTTCCAAGTCTGGAGCGGCGAGCTGCTACGCCGGCACGAGACGCTACTCTCGGGCACCGTGTGGCGGGAGGAGTACGGCGTCCTCGCCTCTGGCGGGACGCTGCACTTGTTTGACGCTGCCGGGGTGGTGGTGGCAAAGGACCTGCCCCCTGCCTCGCCGCTGCTCTCCCTCCCTTGCGCGGCCGCGCGCATCGAACGAGAAGGGAAGCGAACTGGTAGATGCCCACAGTAGCGACAGCCCTGCCACTCCTGCGAGGCGCGTAAGGCAGGGATCTCGTGCTCGTTCCACCACACACTCACACCGTGTACTTGCATAGGACCAGCACAGAGTTTAGCCTATGCGCCCCATCATCGAGCGGCGGTACTCTCCTGACGAGGATCGGGCGCGCTGCCCGGGCCGTCGCGGGCGGAGGCGGTGCGTAGGGATGGGGTGGTCCGAGAGGGACACCTGAGGCCCACTCCTGACGAAACATGAGTAGGCGATGCGCAGGGTGAGGTGACGGTGCTCCTCCGAGGGGTCGACGAGGCGAGCGTCGCGGGTTGGCTCGCCGCGCTGCGCAAGCTGCAGGCGGCGCCGGCTGCGTGAAAGTGGCGCAAATCGCACGGAGCGTGTGCCCAATCTCGTACAAAAGGGTCCCGGAAGGTCTTTTGGTGAGAGAAAGAGATGTCTTTTGGTGTGCCCGTGTGTTGTACCAGCACGTGCAGTCCGCGCCTGTGTCGAGCCTGTCTGTAGTCTGATGTGCGGACAGAGTTTTCTTTGTTGCCTCTAAAATTCTTTCGCGTGATAAAATTCTTTTCTCCCTCTCAAAATTCTTTTCCCTCTCATCCTCTCAACACTTGTAAAGGGGGTGCCTGTGTGTTAGTGCCAGTGCGCGCCACAGTGGTCCCGTGCCTTAGTGTTGTGTAGAGAGGTTCTTTTTCTCGGCTCCTGGCCCCCCTAACCAGATTGTTTGGACGCGAACCCGGAAGCGAAGCTCCCGATCCCGCGCCGAACTCCCGATGCTACAACCCAGACCCAGACAAGAGCTGGCTCTGAGCCACCGCTGCACGCACGCTAGACTGCCACAACGTATCAGACACTCCTCATTCCGAGTACCCATCCACCCTCACCCACGCCATCTACAGTCACAGTTTACCTTTCATTCCTCCATTGGATGTCCTTGCATCCGATTAGTCGCGGTTGCCGGTGGTCTCAATTGCCGATTGCTCAACAAGCCGAAGCGTGATCCAAAATCTGCAGTACTAGTGAAACACTTGGCATTTACGGTCTCCGCGTGGGCGAGGCAAGGAGGGTGTGGCCACTGAAGGCATTCGGCACCCTGGGAAAGGCCAATCGACAGGCTCAGCATGTCTTCATGTCACACCGAATCCACCTACGTCATCTACAGTCATATTATTGTTTTCCATTAGTTGCGGTTGCGCCGTCGACCCTGGGGTGTCGTACATGGGGCTCCATACCACTTAGCGCTACGGTCCGCGTAGGTGAGTCTTGTCACGATCAAGTCCGCCATTATTTACCTTTGATGTCACCATCTTGCACAGCTTGCTCCCTCGTCTTGTTATTGCACATAACCGCGCACGTTGCATGACTTTCAGCAAGTTCTTGGCATCGCCCGCTGCGATGGGGGAACCCACACCAATTTTTGTCGTGTGCTGATTCACCTGGTTTTAAGGAAGTCTTAGATGTCTTTAAGAGTCCGTTACATTCCCCTGTGTTAAGCGCGGGGTCGAGCAACGGATCTTTTTCATCGCACCACTGGTGTGGACAATCCCACCTTGGTTTGCATGTCGGCCAGTCGGAATATGCTGGGTACGCCCAGCAGCGTTTTGAATTGCCATACCCATCCCCCTGTGCCAAATGCTGATTGCATTTCTCCCCCTGGTCGCATATAAGTTGTTTTTCACCACCGCAAGGCTGGCATTTTTTAGTGTCTTCTTCGTCGCATACCAATCTCGTCCCAGAGCCATCGCCACAGCCTCCCAATCGTGGACGATTGTCGCAACATATTTGACCTTCACCCCCGCATTTGAATTCTTCGTTGCATGAATAAGCGGCATAAGCATCGGTGTATGTATCCGTTCCAGGAATGTTGCACTTGACGTTTCCACGGCAAAATACACTATCGCCTCTCTTTGCTGGATAAATTCCATTCAAAACGCAACAAGCAGCTCCAGTTGCCGCGCCACAGTCCGTACATGTGGAGTCACCATCGCCGTCGGTGACGCAATGAGTAGGTCTGTTTACATCTTTTGGATTGCACGTTGGCGGATTGCATGTTGTCATTTCAGGTTCGATGATGATGTTGTCATCGATGGGTGCAAATGTGGTGCCGCGTTCGGTCGGGGCAAATTCGTTGGGGACGGTTCCGACCTGTGGACAGGATTGCAGAGGTGAGCCGACAGTTTGGTGGGAGGATTAGGGCGAGGCAACTACCGAGCCTTCGGGTTGGACTCCGGCGTTGTTTTGGAGAAGTCGACGACCTGCGGAGACACGTGCGAGCGAGTGTGTCAACCTACCTGCTACAGCCGCTGCCAATCATCAAAATATTGCACACCGGGACCGCGGTCGCGTCGGGCACGACCACGGAGTCGAGGAGCTCGGAGACGCCGCCAGGTTTGGAAGAGAGAGCAAAGGCCGAGCCGGCCAGGCCGAGCACCACGATCGAGATGAAGATGATGCACAGCAGCTTTGACGGGTAGAAGTTGCCAAAGCCGAAGCCGGAGCGAAAGCCGAAGCCGGAGCGGAAGCCGAAGGCAAAGGGCGTCGAGGTAGACTCGGGCGGGACAGACTCGGGCGAGACAGACTCGGGCGAGACAGACTCGCACTGCGGCGGCGGCGCGCGCGCGACGTGTGGTCAAGCAAAGGTGGGTGTACACGGTGGGTGTAAGAAAGAGAGAGGCGCGCGCGCGGCGCGCACACACACACCGAGGACTGCTTGCCCGGCGCCGCGCCCTTCACCTTGCCCTTCTCGTCCTCGTCCTCGTCCTCGTCGAGCTCCGGCTTGACGTTCGTCTCGGCGTCGTCGAGCAGATCGTACTTGTTGGAGACCTTCGTGGACTTGACCACGCCCTCGGGCTCCGTCTTGTTGCGCGAGGTCGAGACGATCCAGTCGGGCTCGCCCTACGCAAAGGAAGCGGCGTGGGGGTCTAGGAGTGGGTCGGCTGACGCACGGCGCAGAAGCAAGGCGCTCGCCGCCGGGGCGGGCTCTTCCGGAAACTCCTTGATCGACGGCAGCGTCTCACCGCCGGCCGCCGCCGGCTTGAGGGCCGTGTCGATCTTGGTGACGGGCTTGAGCGCCGGCGGGGTCGTTTTGAGGTCGGTCTCGTCAACGGAGGCCTCCGCGCCAGACTCTGCCGCAGGGATGTCCGTCTTGAAGGCACCCTCGACGGCGCCGGTGGGGGCCGTCGGTGGGCCGGTCGGGCGCGTAAACTTGGACCAGAAAACGGCGGGCGCGCCCGGCGCGTGGGCGGCGGACATGGCCTCGGCCTTGTCCGAGTCGACCGCGACCGCGTCGGGCGCCTTTTCCGCGGCCGGGTCCTTCTTGACGACACCCTCCGTGCCAGACTTTGCCACGGAGATGTTGACGTTCTTGACGCCGCACGCCTGTGGGCGAGGGAAAGTACGCGCAGGCTTTCGGAGACGGGAGAGGGATGATCATAATCCTGGCGTGCGCACGCGCACCTTGGCTCCGGGGAGCGAAGGCGACGCGGAGATGACGAGCGTGATGCGGCCGTCGTCAGCCGGCACGATTCCGACCTTCGCGGAGGACGTCATCGGCGAAAGCTCGCCCGCGATGTTGCCGCCGCCCGCGTCAATGCCGTCCTTGAGCGGGCCGGGCTCGCCCTCGGACGGGACGTTGCCAGTGCCGGTGCTGGCGGTGCCAGTGCCGCCGGTGCCGGTGTCGATGCCATCCTTGAGCGAGACGGGCTCGGAGGGGATGCCGACGGCGTTGCCTCCGCCGGAGTCGATGACGGTCGTGTTGTCCGCCAGAGACGCCTGTCAGCCACAGAACGCGAGAGGCTAGTCTTGCAGGGAAGGCGCAGCGTTGCGTGCGTTGCAGCGGTGCGCGTGCATTCGATACCCCCTCCCTCAGGCACTGCAAATTAACGCACACCTGTTTGTCAGCAAGCGGCGGCGGAGGAGAGAGCTTGAGCACGAGCTTGTCACCGGCGGCCGGCACGAGCTCGAGTTTGAGCATGTTGATCGAATGAATTCCTGCAGAGAGTCAAGAAGCGGTTGAGGGTGCAGGCCAGCGCTCTCAATCTCAGGTCAATCTCGGCTCGTAGCAGGAGAGGCAAGCGCCTACGGGACCACGACTGTGTGAAAGAGGGTATAAAATTGGTATTGGTATCTCTGGGGGGTGTATGGGGTATATGGGGGTATATGGGGGTATAGTGGGGTATATGGAGGTATATGCAATATGGGATTGTGAGTAGTCTTGATCTCATGTCAAAGAGGGCCAGCAACTATCCAGAAAGAGAGGTGCGGAAGAGTCCCACTACGGGCCGCGCATCACTCCAGCGAGCGCGCGGTCAATCTCGGATTCTGATCTCGGGTCAATCTCGGGTCAATCTCGGCGAACGGAAAGGTTGGCGCCTACGCGATCAGGACCGTGTGAAAGAGGGTGCAAGACTGCTATGAAGATGTCTGGGGGGTATATGGGGTATATGGGGGTATATGGGGGTATATGGGGGTATGAGAAAATCTCGGGCAATCTCGGGCAAATCTCACACATCTCCAATCCCCCACCCTCCACCCCCAGCCCCACCCCCACCCCCATCCCACACCAAGCCTCGCCTAAGAGCTCGGGTACTCGAGTAAGGGAAAAGAAAATCGAGGATTCGCATCAGGTATCGCATCTCTCTGCGCAGAGGACTAACGCGAGCTCTATGACTGGGTTTGGACGAGAGTGTCGAGCAGGAGAACGCCGACGCGCCTATGGGCAGCACGCCGCGGCGTGAGCGTCGAGACGAGGCCGCCGGCACGCTCTCTCGCGTCCTCGGCGCTCGGACTGGAGCCGGGCAGCGATTTGCAAGCGAGCGGGTCGCTCGCTCTCTCGCCGGAAAAGAGTGGGGGCAATCAGGCGGGTTCGCTCGGTGTAAGGGTGGGAACGAGCGGCAGCGGCCGCGTCTCGCGGCTCCTCGATGGCAGCAGCCTCACCTGCGAACGGGAGGTGGCAGGCTCTGTGAGGCCGAGAGGGGGCGTAGCCGCTCGGGCGCCAAAGCGAAGCGCATCGCATGGTGGGAGCGGAGAGGGAGCGGCGGGTTGCGTGAGCAAGAGGCGTCGCGCCGCTCGGGTGTGCAGCTCCCCGCGGCCATATGTGCGTCGATACGGCGGGGCCAGCGCGAGCGGAACGGGAAAGGCGAGGGTTGGACCTTGGGTGTGGTTGTCAGTGAAGGGGGAATAGAGCTCTATGGGGATTTATCTCGGCGTAGGGAAATGCTTATGCATCCTTTCGCCAGGGGAATATGGGGAACATCTCATGTTCACACTGTCGTCTGTGGCTGCAAACTGTGGCCGCGAAACCGAACAAAACCCTCACCGGGCGCCTCTCACCCAGCCACAGATTTTGGTATTGCTATAAAATCTCTCTCTCAGATTTTCGGCACGACGTACAGCGACACCTACGTCTCGAGCCCGCCATCCACCCACCCACCCACCCAGCCCCGCCCCCGGCCCCATGCCCTCGAGAAAAAGAAATCAGAGCTTGTGCACAAAAATGGTGCTGCTCAAGAGCATGCGCATGCTGAATGGGACGAGAGGGCGAGCCGGAGAGAGGAGAGCCGCGCCTACGGGCAGCACGTCGCGGCGTGAGCGTCGAGACGAGGCCGCCGGCACGCTCTCTCGCGTCCTCGGCGCTCGGACTGGAGCCGGGCGGCGATTGGCGAGCAGCGAGAGCGGGTCGCTCTCTTGCCAGAAGAGAGGGAGGGCGGTCGCGCGGGGCAAGGGCGGGGAATGGGCAGCAGCGGATGCGTCTCGCGGCCTCCTCGATGGCAGCGGCTGCACCTGCGAGCGGGAGTAGGCAGGCGGTGCGCCGAGGGGGTACAGGCGCTCGCGCGACGAGCGACGGCGCATCGCGTGGTGGGGGTGGTGAGGGGGCGGCGGGTTCCGTGAGCAATAGGCGTCGCGGGGGTCTAGGCGTGCGCTCGCGGCGGCATAGTCGGGCGCAATGCGGCGCGGCAAGCGCGAGCGGACGAGGAAAGTGCCATGGCTTGCCTTTTCCGCTGTCTCCTCGGTCCTCGGCGAGTTCGATGCCGCGGCCGCCCTTTTTCAATGTACTAGCAGGTTGGCTCGCTAGTCGCTCGCCGGGCCCGCGCAGCACGCGCGGGCCTTTTTTGTGGTTGATAAAGGTGGCACCTTCGACATTGCACTTGGAGCACTTGGAATGCATTGCGTTTCTTTTCTTTAGGGCATGGCCTTTGCTGCTGCGCCTGCTGCGCCATCACCGCCACTGCCGAGGCTATGCTGCGCGTTGACACTCGCGCTGCCGATTGCTGCCAATCGCGCGGCGTGAGAACAGCATCGCGGCCTCGCGAGCCGGCTTGGGTGCATATTGCACCGTGGCAGCGGGCTGCGTGCCAGCACCGCCGCGAGGCGTTTGAGCACCGCGTGACGACGCGCGCAGGGCCCTCCCACCCTAGGGCAACCTTATCGGCCATCGGCGGCCCGGGATGAAGCATGATCGTGTCGCTGTCACGCCGACGACAAGCCTCGCACACACACCCTAATCGGGCAGCGATCAACTTTCGGTGGATCTCGTCGGAGGACCCACGCTTTCACAGTCAGAGTCACGCAGCGCTCTTTTGATTTCGCCTTTTCCTTTTCAGCAACCCAAACACACTACGACGGGCCGCCCAACACACTACGACGGGAAACCGTTGCATCCAGCAGCAGCGAGCGAGTGGCACACGCACACAGACCCCACGCACACTATGCGCGCCAAGCGCACCACCACCGACACACAGAAACGGATACCCCGCCGCACGGCTGAGTCGACGGGCAGTAGGCAGTGCGCCTCGACACCAGGCTGCGAGTGGCGCCGGCTCACATTCGCCACGGCCCCCGCGCGCCCGCTCCACACACAACTTGCTGTCCGCTGGACCCGGCGCGCTGGCACACCGCATGCGACACCGGCACACTGGCACACCGGCATCGTTCCTGCCGCACGCGCTGATCCGGCGAGCGCGCGAGCGCGGCACGGCGCGTCTGGACAACGGGCGCAAGCCGTAGCGCGCCGGCTCTGCCGGATGCACACCAATCACTTTGCAGCTGCAGCGCCGCGCCTCGAGAGGTGTTCAGTCCCGAACTGCGCGCCGAATACGGTGACGACGCGGGTCTGATGACCACCGGCCAGCACCCGTCCGGGCCGTGACTGCCTCCTCCCATCAGCAGCGCCGCGCGCCGCTCGTGCCGCGCGAGAAGGTGTTCAGTCAACGGCGGGCGCCTCGCCAGCACTGCCTGGCGCACCCGTCAAAATGTGCGCACACCTCGCCATCTCCGCCGCCTCCGAGGCCACCGGCGCCATGAGTGGTGTCTGCGCCGTCGCCGTGGGGGCCTTGGCCGGCTTGATTGGCCTCAAAGTCAGCTTTGCCGCCCCGCCGCGAGCGCCGAAAAAGCGTCAACCGCGCAACGGCGTGACGGAGAGAGAGCGACCGCGCTGCTTCTGCGAGCCGCTAGGAGCCGAGCCGATGTCTATCCGAAGCCGTCTGCCGCGCGCGTCGGTCGCGAAGGGCCCGCCGGGGATCAGTTTCCACTCCTCTGAGGCTGCCGATCACCTAAACTGCACCCGTGTGTCGACGGGGCACTGGTGTGGAACCGGGCTCAAAAAAGCGCGTTTGACCGTGCGGGTTTCTTTAGCTAGGTTGTTGCCGCCACACGCCCGGCGGCCGCGGGTCCCAGAAGTGGTTGCGCGGGCCTCTTCCTTGCGGCCGCGGGACGGCGTCGTGCGGAAACGTTCAGGGACCTCATAGCTGATCCCAGCCGGAAGCTCCGACGAGTTGCCACCTCCAGTGCGGCTCGGACCTGCGCACCTGCGCATCTTCGCTATGCCGGAGACCCCAAAAAAGGGGCAAGGCTGCGGAGACGGACTGGGTGCCCCCCCCCCCCCCCGCCCCGCGAGCGTCCCCCCCCCCGCCCGCCCTACGCGCCCGAATCGCCCAAGCACATCGGCCCGCACCCCACAGGGCGACGACTGTCTCACGCCGATAAGCGAGGCTCCAACACCGGCCAAGAAGGTGGGCAAGGACCCGGTCTTCGGCGACAGCGTCGAGAAGACGAGGTGTTCTCCCCCGGCTCCCGGCCGCACACCCCACCCACCGCCCTGACCCCGCACCGTTCCATCAGCACACGGTCGAGTGCACCGTGGATCCGAGCAACGGCGTCGTCTTCAAACACCAGCTACTGGTGCCCTTTTAGAGGGGCCCCCGGAGGGACGCTCAACCGCTCCACGCCACGCCGCTTGCGGCGGTCCTATTCCCAGCTCGCGGGGGCCAGTTCTTATTTATATATTTCTGGAGGCAGGCTAATATAAATTCTTTTTTCTCGATTGTAGATGTCTGACCCGCCGCGCCGCCTCACCACCGCCGCCACCGCCGCCCCCTCGTCAGACACGCCGCCGCCCGCACGCCTCCTCGACCTCCCCACGGAGCTCCTCGAGCGCGCCCTCTCTCACTGCGACCCCGCCGACATCGCTCGCGTCGCGGCCGTCTCGCTCCTCTTTCACGCCTCGCTTGCGCTGGAGGGCATCCGCTTGTGGGCGCAAGAGCGCGGCTTCGAGCTGCCGGCGCAGCCAGAGGGCGAGGGCTGCGCCGTGCGGTGGCTGTGCTATTCGGCGCTGCTGTGCGAGGCCAGCCCGCCGGCGAGGGCGGCCGCAGGATATTGGCACAGCCTCTTCATCGACGGCGAGGGGCGGCTCTCGTCGTGCGGCGCTGCGGAGCACATCGCAGGCCTCCTTGGGCACGGCGAGGAAGTGACGTGGCTCAACACGCCGACCCGCCTTGCGTCGACGCTGGGCGGCGAGCACGCCGTGAGTGTGACGGTGGGAGACAACCACAGCCTCGCCCTCGCCGCCGACGGTGCCGTCTGGAGCTGGGGCGATGGAGGCTTAGGCAGGTTGGGCCACGGCGACGAGGAGCAGCAGCTTCAGCCAAAGAAGGTCGAGGCCTTGGCTGGCCAGCGCGTCGTCGCCGTGTCGGCTGCGGAGTACCACAGCCTCGCCCTCACCGCCGACGCCGCTGTCTGGAGCTGGGGCTTTGGATACCATGGCAAGCTGGGCCACGGCGACCAGCAGAACCAGCTGCTGCCGAAGAAGATCGAGGCCTTCGCAGGGCGGCGCGTCGCCGCTGTGTCGGCTGGACTCGCGCACAGCCTCGCCATCGCTGCCGACGGCGCCGTCTGGAGCTGGGGCGGTAATGCCGGTGGCAAGCTGGGCCACGGCGACACGCAGAGCCAGCTGCTGCCGAAGAAGATCGAGGCCTTGACTGGCCAGCGCGTCGTCGCTGTGTCGGCTGGAGGCTACCACAGCCTTGCCCTCACCGCCGATGGCGCTGTCTGGAGCTGGGGCGAAGGAGGCAATGGCACGTTGGGCCACGGCGACCAGCAGCGCCAGCTGCTGCCCAAGAAGGTCGAGGCGATGGCTGGCCAGCGTGTCGTCGCTGTGTCGGCTGGAACCATTCACAGCATCGCCATCACCGCCGACGGAGCTGTCTGGAGCTGGGGCTTTGGAAGCCAAGGCCGGTTGGGCCACGGCGACCAGCAGAACCAGCTGCTGCCGAAGAAGATCGAGGCCTTTGCTGGCCAGCGCGTCATCGCTATCTCGGCGGGAGATGCGCACAGCCTCGTCATCACCGCCGACGGCGCTGTCTTTGCCTGGGGCCAGGGCGAGGACGGCTGCCTAGGCCACGGCGAGGACCTGTCGAACCAGCTGCTGCCCAAGAAGATCGAGGCTAAGGCGCCGGGCCAGTGAGAGAGGAATCGTGAGATCGCGAGCTGCAAGTCTTTCTCTGTGCTAATGTGTGTTGTGTAGAGAGGCCTTTCGACATTTTTGCCCGGCCGCGGCGCAGCGCTAATCGGGCGTCCTTTGCTCCTCCGCGAGCTCGAAGGGGCCCAAAAAAGTGGGAAGAGATGCGTCAAAGATGCAGTCGAGCCTCGTTCGAATGGCGGCAGCGCCGGCGCGCAGCGCCACGCCGCCAGGCGTCCGCCGGAGGCTCCCCGGCCGACACATCCCGGCAAGCTTGCCGCGCGCAGCGCCCCGCGCCGCAGGCCCGCCGGAGGCTCCCCGGCCGACACACCCCGGCTGCTCTCGCGGGCGCGGGAGCGCCGGCGCGCCCGCGCCACGCCACTAGGCGTCCGCCGGGGGATCTCGCTGCGGCCACACCCCGGCAAGCTTGCCGCGCGCAGCGCCCCGCGCCGCAGGCCCGCCGGAGGCTCCCCGGCCGACACACCCCGGCCGTATTCGCTCGTCCACTCCTCACCCTTCTCGCGCCGCTCTTGCGCACCTCTTGCGCCCCCCTCTTCCCCGCCGGCCCCGAGAGACTTGGCACGCACCCCCCGCCCCCGCCCCGCCCCCGCCCCGCCCCCGCCCCGCCCGGCCCCCTCCCCCCTCTCACGCCCGGCAAATCCCTTGTGCTGCAGATCGTGGCAGTTGATGTCGCGGCGTCCTCTGCCCCCCCCCCCCCT